CTGAATACTCCAACATGGTCTGAGATGTAAATTTTCAGCTAGGAACTTTCAAAGTTTCTCGCCTAAACTTTTTCTGAAATACATGAATGTTCGTTCATGAGAACGCTTCCCTAACCACTTCATATTTTTTATGGTGTTGTTTACAGATCTTTAATGTGAAAAAATGTGTTCCTTATTTTTCAGTTGTTATTATTTCTTCTGACATTTGAGCGACTAAGGAGAAGCTTCGTAGCAAACGAATTCCTATTATTTTGTCTCTTCCTGCATTCTGTAGTCAAAATTATCATCGGGAAAGAAATATGGAAAACTACAAAAGTAGGTGCCTCGTAGTCAAATTCTGACAAAAGATTACGATGAAGTGAACAGAATACAATATTGGAATCAGAAGTCAGTCTTTGTGTTTAACTGTCATATTTAGCAACTGAGAATCATCGACCAGTCACGAGATGATTCATCTCCATAGAGATTATCCTTCCACTGTCAATATTTATTAACTGCGCTTACGCATGTTTGGGTGGAGGTGCAGGCTAAATATCAACCTTTTACGGTGCGATTTTGAGTAAAGCCTGTGATTTTGAACCACGTACAACTGCCACGTAAACCTGGCCCATGTGAAATATTTGAATAGGCACAATTTGTGTTAGTGAAGCCAACCTCCCTTCAAATTATCTCAGCGTTACTACTAACCTCTGCGCACCCCCACCGTATTCATTTGTGCTAAATCTATAGGTTAAGAAGTCAAATTAGGCTTGGTTCCTTCGAAACTCAACATATTTGCATCCATATCATTAGTAAACCTGGGTCTACCTAATATCTCACTAATAATTAACAAGACAATGTTAAGAACATCTTTAATATGAGTAGGAGCTTTGAAATTTATTCTAAAACTTGGGTAAAACAAAAGAGTGAAACTGTTAGTGATCAATATTTGTCCAGTATGACAGTTCTTGACCGGTCAAATATTTCTTCAGTCCACTTGTCACAGTTAATCGGATTTCAAACGGACAGTTTTACTCGAAGTGGTTGTTACTTGTATATGGAAAAGACATTTCTTTGGCAAAGGTATACGATCATTCTTTCACCGTAAAAAGTCTCTCAAAACGGCGGGACTGATAACAGAGTTCTTTCTAGATACTTAAACACATTATTATAAACAATTATTGTATATTAAGTTTGATGAAATAGAGAGAAACATTTTCTGGTGATTAATCGCCAGAGCAAGAGATATGCCTTAGTATCGTTTACCTAACCAGGACATTAGTTATGATATGCTCATACTTCGAATTTGCATAGGATATAGTGGTCACCCTTCTGGTGGTACAGTCTAATGTTTCACGGAGCCAGCTAAATATGTTAAAGGATTAGAACGATATCCTCATTACTCAGGCTAGCAAAGCTAGAGAAAGTCACCAGACCAGCAAACATCCAGATTTGTCTAGCAACACAGGCTTCTGCGTGGCAATTATGGCTATTCCTATCAGCAATTTGAAACACTAAGCAAGAGGCTCAGTTCAAAGTTAAATGAATGATCAAAATATCTATCAGTTGGGAGAGGTAGTGAGCAGCTGTTTTATGTGGAAATTAATGTTCAATATACTACCTCATAAAGATAACTTGGGTATTTTAACGAACATTGTACAGACACGCAACCTAGCTGGAACTGCAAACTCACGTTTTAGCAGGAAGTATCGCTTGCTAATCTGAATACAAGAAGAATACCTTCTAATCAGATTCGTGTATTCTCTTCGTTTAAAGATACTACCAAACTAATCTTTATTGTCAGTCTTATATCAAGAAACTAAACACAAGATTCGATGGAGGAGCTTACTTCAAGCGCAGATGAAATATGAAGCGAGTAGGAAGCTGCTCACATTGGCAGTGTGAAGAAGATTCCCAACCAGACTCACAAAAAGGCTTAAAACATACATTCCTGAAGAATGTGATCAGAAGTTGAGCAATGAGAGAGTTACAATGTGTAGCTGTTTACATTTAATAAGAACTTATGACTAGCCGTTTTTAACGACATATGCTCAGAATTACAGCTAACTATATAGAAGCAGCTGATTAGGCTTCCCAGTTCGTGGTTTCGTCGTGAAGCCCTAGTTTGAATGGATGGCAGAATATTTAGGACCCTTTTAGGGTGTGAGCACAAAACAGAGAGCCTTCGCTTGAAGTTATCATCTGGTTTTCTAAAACGGATTCAGAAAGCTCGCTTATATTTTTGTGATTAAATAACAGAACATTTTAAACTCGTTCAATTAGTTTGCTATAGGTTGAGGGTGAAACTACACTGGTTTCTACACACTAGGTGGTGGTTTCGGTATTACTATCCGGTGATCCCTTTTCCCGTACAGGATTCTTCGTCTAACAAGAAAACGCAATAATGTCGAACATGTCTGTATCTAATTAGATCACTGTCAATGAGGAAGGATTAAGTTAAGAAGTTCCATACTGAAAAATTAATGGTCTGATATGTCTATTTTCTGGAATCCCATATAGAGTCATTCAGGTTTATGTGTAAAACACCTCTCCATTGAAAAAAACAAGTGCTTAAGAGAACGTTCCCGTTGTATTTCGGAACGAAAGTATACTTTCAAAGAGAAGTAGTCCTTTGAAATGGACGATTCCCCCTGGCCTCATCATGTACGAACTTTTTTTATGATATGATCTAAAAATACAGTAGTTGATGGGGTTATCACATGTGCTCTAGTGCAACATGTGAAAGAAGCGACGAGGTACGATCCGGACACTGAATCATCCTTATTAGATCTTATACTGACTCATTATGAGGATGATATTGCGAACCCCCATCATATGCCACCCCTAGGTAAAAGTGACCACGCAGTTTTAACTTTCGACTTCCATATAACTGCTAGTCAAGAGGACGCGTCAGTCCAGTCCAGACCCAACGTCTGGAAAGCAAACATATCAGACATCATGCACTCAGCATCGTTAATAGATTGTACAATAGACCCAGAGTCCTCCATTGAAACGGCCTGGGACGCATTTCGAAATTCATACTTAAAAGTTACCACACCTCACATCCCTTGGACTATACTAAAGGGGCCGAAAAACTCACCACCATGGTTCAGTAGGGAGGTCCGTATCCTTCTCCGTAAGAAAAGGAAAATGTAGGATAGATTTAGGTTACTGGGGACTGATGAGTCAAAATCTCAGTATCGAAAGGCTCGGAATACTTGTACCTCGACCCTCCGTAAGTCTAGAAAATTGTATGAAGAAAAACTTGTTAAGGAATCCATAGAATGTCCTAAACGCTTGTATTCCTATATAAACCAGAGGACAAGGAGAAAAGGAAATATTCCTGCTCTATGGGGAGACAGTACTGCTTCACCATTAGTGGAGGACGACTTTGGTAAGGCTCAAGTGTTCTCGAACTACTTTAGCAACGTATATACCAAAGAAGCGCCCTTCCTGTCAACGTATACAGATCCCCCATACATAAACTGGATAGCGTGACCATTAAAGAACTCGATGTCTTTGGTCTGCTCAATAAGCTTGACATAGGTACATCCACGGGACCCGATGAATTACATCCAAGGCTACTGAAGGAATTATCTAACTTCGTTGCAAGCCCTTTAAGTACATGCTTTAACCTATCCGTCACGCAGGGTCGTTTACCGAAAGACTGGAAAAACGCCATAGTAAGTCCTGTCTTCAAAACAGGTACGAAACACAAACCTGAGAACTACCGCCCCGTTAGCCTAACTAGTGTGGTTGTTAAAATCTTAGAAAGGATTATTCGTAAGGACCTGTTTAAGTATATCGATAAAAACCGGATACTCTCGGAGAAGCAGCACGGCTTCAGAATAGGTTGCTCTTGTCTCACTAACTTATTAGTGGCTCGTGAAAGCTGGTGTGCTCTTAAGGACCAAAAGCTACCTGTAGACGTCGCCTTCATTGATTTCAGTAAAGCTTTAGACAAAGTTCCGCACAACCGGCTGTTATATAAGTTAAGAAAAGTCGGGATTGGAGGCAATTTATTGATGTGGATAAAAGACTTCTTAGTTGGGCGTCAACAAAGAGTAAGGGTGAACTCAAAGTTATCTAGCTGGGAAACTGTGCTTAGTGGAGTGCCCCAGGGTACAGTTCTATTCCTTTTGTATGTAAATGAACTTCCTCGTCTCCTACCATCATCGGTCTTGCTATATGCTGACGATGTCAAGATATGGAAGACGATACGATGTAAGAGTGATAGCTTAGAACTTCAAAATGACCTGAAGAAGTTATCCGAATGGTCTCAAACATGGCAGTTGCCGATAAATACTTCCAAGTGTGTTGTGATGCATATCGGTCATCAAGGCACAGATACATACACGATGAATAACACTGAGCTACCAGTCGTCCAGACATATAATGACTTAGGAGTTATCGTTAGTCAAGACTTAAAGACTACTACACACTGCCGTGCAGTAGCCGCCAAAGGTTTTAGAACCTTATGGTCAATACGTAGAGCTTTTAGTCATGTCGACGCTAAGACGTTTTTGACTTTGTATACAGTGTTCGTTCGTCCTAAACTTGAGTACTGCATACAAGCGGCTAGCCCCTGCTTAAAAAAAGACAGTGAGCTCCTGGAAAAGGTTCAGAGAACGGCGACTAAGCTGATTCCCGGGATAGCGAAGCTTCCGTATGAATCTCGACTGGCCAAGCTGAACCTTTTCCGTTGTCATATCGCAGAACTAGAAGTGACTTGATTACAGTCTACAAATCGCTTAGTGATAAATTTGCACCTGATATGCCCTCATTTTTCTTGTCTTCCAAAACAGAGAATTTATGAGGACACTCCAAAAAAGTTCATAAGCCGAGAACAAATTACTTGTCAGCTGACTATCGACTTTCCCATCGAATCATCAACGAGTGGAATTCACTACCTCAGCACGTGGTTGAGGCTCCATCCGTCGACTCTTTCAAAAGAAAGTTGGATCGACTGGGAGATCACCATTGCCAGGACTAACATAGGACATCGAGCCTCCTGTCCTTCCCAAACTGAAACTGAAACTGTAGATCAGCTATTGAAATCATCGCCAGGTAAACTTCTTTCCGAACAAAACAATATCCTGATTTTATCATATCATATAGTGAAAAAACTCGCACTTACGTATAAAGGATGTGGTTAGTATAATTCACATTATTCAAACAAGGTTTCAATGGCTGGTCCACTTTCGAATGACAGCCATGTCTACAAGCGCCTATACGGCTCTGATGGTATGTTGTACATGGTTTCGTAGTTTTGCTGTTTTGTGTCATTTTTAAAACGAAAGAAGCCTGTATTGCATAAATCAGTAAACTGAAACAATCTATGTTTTTTATTTTTAGTCTAGTAAACGCAAGGTGAGTTAATATTAATACAATTACTTGTGTTATTGTTTATTTACCCTTACATGGAAGCATTAAGACGATTTCATCTTCATATACATTGTTTTTTTCAGCAATTTGAGTTGTTTTTACAGGACGAATACCTTAAATATTATCGAAGCTAGCAAAGTTGGTTGATTTCTACTGTTCTTGCTTAAACTGTACCGTGGGATATAAATAACTATATTCAGACTACCAGGTGTCAAATATATTACTGCTAAGACATACGATATTGGTCTTCACAAACTTCGTATTAATTGAATGCGTGAAAAAGTGTTTATGCGTGGCTCGTTAATTCTAAATATTTGGCATCATTGCGACCGGACTTTTTCCTACCTATGCCGTTCGGAAAGACAATCGTTTTTAAGTTGTTGCATAATTATTTTCAGTCAAATAAGTCAACGAGACTGTGCCAACTTTAAGGGACGTGGTGTTAGTGCATAAACTTCATCTGACACACTATGTGCTTCTGTTGATCGCATAATCAACATGAGCCTAGGGAAACGGATCGTTTTAGTCTTTTAGTAACTTCGTTTGGTGACATAAAGGTGGCAGAAATTAAGATCACTCCTAAGTCTTCCATACCAGGATGATAGGCCTGTTCTCAACATCCCAGTTCCATGAGTTCTGTATCTCAGTTGGTAAGCTTTCTCTGACTTGTTTCTCCTTGTAGTCTATTTCCGTTTAATTAGTCTTGTTTTGACTAGAGTAGCTTTTTCATCCAGGTTGATGTTCACAACCGAAAATGTTACTTATGTAGAGAGATTTAAGGGGCAAGTTATGTACCGTAACATATTGATGACATTCACTTATGCGTTTATAGAGTTTAAAAGAGGTTTAATAATTACACAAAACGGTTTCACTCATATGATGGTTCCAAAGTAGTTTCAGGGTCTTAAGATATCGGGTTAAATGTATATGGACAGTGAATAAAGTGATAAATACAAAACAAGGCGTAACATGGTTTGTTGCCTGATTGTTGTGATCTTGCTACAAAGTAGATAGTTGATGTACTAATTTCAATATTGTTAAGACTACTATGACACACATGGTAGAGATTGTGACAAGTCTGTATACTCAGTTTTGGTTCGTATTGTGTTCAGGCTAATTATGCTTTTCAGTGGAGAGGAATTCGGGTCTGTGGCTTATAGGTTTACAAACTTGCTCCAGATAGGTATCAAAACATTAGTGTATGCTGTTTTTCAGCTTATCAGTATTACTTAACTATCTCCAGAAATACTCACTTCCCGTATTAGTTTCACTGTATGTTATACAATTTAAACAAGAAATCCCAATGGAATAGGTTCCTTACATAAAGTCACTCAACTGGGAATTAGTGATGGGATCGTATAATCACGCATAAAGACTATATTTGGTGTGGAAGCAGGCTGGTATCCTAGCTTCATTTAGTTCTCCATAAGAACTCTAGGAATGGTAAATACAGCTTAGTGTGCATCAGGTCAGTTTGTCGATGTAATCTGTCTAGAGACTCAATCGAAAATTATCGACTAGTACACTCCCTCTAAATTCCGCTTTGTCACCTACAAGACATCACTGTCTCATGAGAAATCAATGATATGGGGCCCCAAGGCTAGTCCTTTTACATAGCGAATATGTAAGATATAACCAGCCTATCTTAAAGTTATAAGGTCCAGAAATATAAAAATACTTTAACAATACTTACAATTGAGTGCATCAACTGCACAGTATAACAAGGCTTATAGGATTGGGGAAATCCTGTTTTTTTTTTCATGAGCCGTATTCTTTGTACTACTCACTTGAATAACTTTATAAATCGACCTGTGTAACAGCGTGATGAAGCTAATGGATTTATAATGAACGGAAATGGTCATGCTCCAATGGAAACTGATACTAACGAAAACAAAAAGGTAAGATTACTGTTTTCCTAGCCTGTAAATTTTCAGTCAAGAATTGAATATGTTGAAACTGTTCCATCAAAAGTTGTTCATATTCGTAACATGCCAGACGATGCTACAGAACATGAAATCGCTCTTCTCGGCATCCCGTTCGGTTTGCTAGAAAACATGGTGCTTTCTAAAAAAGCTAACCAGGTAAGTATTTTAAAAATCAGTATTCCTTTCGGCAGGCTCTGTTGGAAATGCAATGCCTAGAGAGTGCGATCATGATGGTTTCGTACTATCGCGAATACCAAGTTACGCTAAGAGGACGCACTCTGGTCATGCAGTATTCTAAACACCAACATCTCGAATTACATTCGGAAAACAGTAGCATAGGCAATGCAATTCAGAACGCGAATTGCATCGTTCAGCAGGATCTCAGCGGCGCTAATTCTGGGATGCCTACTACAGTTCTGCGTGTTGTCGTTGATAACATAATGGGACAGCAGATCAACCATACTATTCTACACAAGGTAATGTATATTATTACTATTACTATGAGTTATTTCCCCAGATATTTTACCGATATGGAAAAATACTAAGGATTGTTACCTATCTGAAAAACAACCAGTATCATGGACTAGTCGAGTTTGGTAATCATATTCATGCATTTGTTGCAATGCTAGTAAGTCTCTTCACTTTCATTCAAAAGCTTTAGCATTTAAATGGCCAAAACATATACACTGGATGCTGTTCCCTGCGTGTGCAATTTTCGAAAAATCGTGGTCCATTGGAAGTTCGTCAAGAGAGTGATAAATGCAGAGATTATCTCAATAATCCACTAACTGAGGAGGAGTTAATGTCTCTTCGAAGACCCACAGCTGGGAGTGAAAGACATCATAGCAACAATCCTGGTCATGTTTCTTCAAATTTCCAAAATTCCGTCGTACCGAATATGGCACACCAAGGTATCCATCTCCCGGTTGGGATGATTGCACCTCCAAATACGAGCAATATGGGGATTAACGAACTGACTGCTCAGTTAGCAGCACTAGCTCAGCAGTCAGGTTTGGCTCTTACTCCTGCAGCAGTAGCTGCCACTGCAAGTTTCATGGCTCTTACATCACAAAATAGCGGTCCAGGTGCTCAGTCTATGTCAGGAACTCCTAATCTGTCCACTATACTAGCAGCACTTCAGGGTGGTGCTGTTCAAACTGGGGTGCTCCCCCATATGTCTGGCGGTAACACAAGTGTTATGGGATCTGTGCAGACACCTGTCTCTTCTCACGTGACGCCTGTTGGAGTTCGTCCCCCTCCTAATAATAATGGAAGCACGGTCCTGATTGTATCAAATCTGAATGAAGATGTAAGTGTTGACTTTGGAATGTCGAGATTATGGGTTTGCTCAAAAAACATGACGTCTAATTTAATATTCTGTTTTTCGTTTCATGTTTTCTTGAAATCACACCATCTGCTCTCAACCTTGGGTCTTTATTCGTTGATTGGCTATACGATTATGATTACCCATCACTGCTGTCAAATCGGCCGTTTTTCTTCGTATTTCGCTGTTCTTGTTCAATCTTGTTGCACACTTGCATCTGTTGTGCGACTGTACGTGATATTAAATTCGGATTCATTATTTTAACCTTCATCTTCGTTAAGAGGGTTTATCCGGATGCTCTTTTTACACTTTTTGGTAGGTTTATGTCTTTTCTTGTTCTACCGTTACCCATCACAGATTTTCTTGTCTATAAACATTACTTATTTATTCTCTTGTTCTGTATTAATTCTGTTTTTATTCCTTATATTGTCTTGACAGCAGCACAACTGGTTTTTCTTTGTTCATTCTCATGACTCTACCCATATTCCCTAGTAGATCAGTAATGTAAATGTATCATTAACTAATACTGATTTTCAGTCGATTTTGTCTTGTAAGATTTCAGTCAACCACTTAATGCTTGTGACTAACTGCGTTAAGCATTGATTTTCAGGTTGTTAAAGGTATGTGATCGTAGTAGCTTTCTTATCGCACTTAACATTCACTTCATGAAGAAAGGCTTTTAATATTTACTCAGGTTTTTTCATTTTCACCTTAGAGGTGAAGCTTACTAATCTTATCTCGTTAACATCTATAGTAATACTGTCAAACTTTATAGTTACAACCATTTATTCAATAGCTTAGTGTTTAAATAACTAGTTAAAATCCCGCTTTGGTCGAGTGTCTTACAGAAAGCCGACTATAAAGATTCGAAAATTAGTCTTAGGTCTAGTGCATGAATATCTGCATAGTCATTGATTCCCAGTATTGTTCTATTGAGTATAATTAGACAGTTTATACATATGACCAAGCGGTCCGACTTTTTGAAGTGAGCGCTCTAAAATGCAGTTTTACCTATGAGATGACCAAACATTTATTGCATGTTGTTCCTTGTTATTCATTTTTTCCTCTAATTTCAAGTGGTACTATCATCTGGGTAGTAGATAAAATTTATCTACTAAAGCTCATTACATTCAACTCCACTCAAACCATTCAGCCCGGTCAAAGCAGTATGGTTTTTTATAATTCTAATCTTACGCTTTTATATAGGAACCCCAAGAGTAGCTTGAGTGAAGCCTGTAATTTGGACACAAGAAGCCCGAACGCTTCTGATTGTCTCATTGTGCTTTGTCTCCCATTCTGAAACTTCCTACCTAAAGTTTATTAGCAACATGGTGGATAAATGATAACGTTTCTTCAACAGGAAATGCATTATCAGGACCAAAATATTATTTACATGCTGAACAATTTTTTGTTTACAGGTGTATATGGAGATGTCACTCGCGTGAAAATTATGTTCAATAAGAAAGACACAGCCCTGATTCAATTTACCGATCCTCACCAGGCTCTTACAGGTAATTTTGTCAACATTCTGATAATAAATCTCATAGCTTTACAGTTTCTCAATGGCCAGCGCCTCTGGGACAAACCGATGAAAATTGCAGTGTCTCGACATAATATTGTTCAGCTACCGAAAGAGGATACTGAAAATGGTTTGACCAAAGATTATACTAACAGTCTGTTGCATCGTTTTCGAAAGCCAAATTCAAAAAATTTTCAAAATATTTACCCTCCAAGTCACGTTCTTCATTTGAGTAACATCCCTCCTTCGGTAACTGAAAACGATATACGTGTGTTATTTGCAACTAAAGGATTTGAAGTTACTGGGTTTCGGTTTATGTAATTATTTATTTTCTTAAGATGTTTACGTTAATTTTTTATAGGAAGGATAACAAAATGGCACTCGTGCAGTTGGAAACAGTTGATTTGGCTATTCAGTCTCTTATCGTAAGTTAATCTTAATTGCAACTTTATTTTTCGTAACAGGAATTGCACAACAGCCAGTTGACAGAAAATTCTCACTTACGGATCAGCTTTAGTAAATCGGCTGTTTGAAATATGTTGTTTTTCCTACCATATTGCATGTAATGCTGATAGCTGCCTGTCAGGAAATAATCTTGCATACTATCCGTGCTCTCCCAGCCTACCTTTATTCGAAGGTTTGATTTTATCTTCTCAATTTTCATATTGGCGTTATCATGTTGATAGTCATCAAAAAATGTATTTAACGGTATCATATTTTTGTTTTTTTGCTTTTTAAGTGGGAATTAAAAAAATGCGCTTGAAATCATGTAACAGTTGTGTCTCCAAATAATACTAATAATACTTTTTTCAGACACTGATATTGCTTAGAGTAAAAGTTACTGTGAGTGCCACTTCTCCCATATTGTTCTTTGAATCTTTGTTTTAAGTACTTCGCGATGCGCTTTACTCCGTTTCATCATTGTCCATATTTGTGTCGAATATTATGACAGCTTGTCTTGACACTAGTATGTCGATTTCTATCAAATACACTATGGTTAAAGGTCTATACTTCATTAAGGGAATACTTCAGGCTCCTGTCGATTCAGTTGTTAGTAGTACTGTTTTCGATTTGTTGATGCACGATTAACGCACCAATTGTTCTTGCCGAATAGTAAACTTTTTAGTTGCTTGGGATTAGATAGAACATGGTCATAGTTTGAGAGAAATGTGACCAATACTGCACTACTGTCCTTTACGGTTGACCTTCACTGGACCAACGCATTCTCTAGGTGTTTCAGCCTAAAAAGTAAGTTACGCAAACATACTGTGATCGAATGCGTTTAGTCACATTATTGACTTTCCAATTGTTGGTGCGTTCATTAAGTTCAACACCTTTCTGATTGTAATTCTTACTTGCGTTGCTGAGAATATATGGACCTCAGTGCGTTTTTAAAAAAAAAATTGACCGTCTCTTAGTATTCTTCATGTAAAATAAATTCCAAAAAAAGTCAATCATATGCAACGTAGAACCTGATATATATATATATATATCGGTTCAAGTTGTTAGGGCAAATCCCAAGGTAGTGGAAGTAATAAAAGTACTGGTCTTGATAGAAAACATTAGGCATCAAAGGTACGATTAAAAAAATAACAGATTAGTGTAATAAGAGTTCTGAAGGATTTCGAATTATGGTAAAAGTAGGTAAATTAAGCAGACCTCATACAACTAGGAAACATTGCTTCCAGATCCTTTAATTGTTCAATGCGTCAAACAGTCTACTGCAAATAACGAAAAATCTACAAGGTATTTTGTAACTGCAGGCACGCATCCCATAGCATGTTATGGGATACACTAATCCGATGTAACGACCTATGGTTTTTAATGAAGAAAGACCCATCCATCTTTGGACCGGTCATTAACCAGTTCATAATGTTATATTTAGTTTAGGAGATAACGTGACTTAATTTCAGTTTATTACGAAGCAGCTTAAGGAGTTAAATTGGAATAGACTTACTTTTTCCTTTAAATCATTTGGTACAGTTTTGGATGATCTGCTCGGCTAATCCTGGATAGTTTTGGAGATCGTATATCTTAAACCCCGGTCCTTATTACCGTTTGAGTACTTGAGAAGTGATCAATAACCTGAGTAATTTTAGAATCGCAGCCAACGTTAATTTATTTTAGTTGCTGACACCTAAATAAGGTAATTATGATGTACTATTTGTAGATATCCTATAGCTGGTCCTAGTCATTCATGTCTCAATGTTATTACGAGAAATGTCAATATTCAAATTTTAGTGTAATAATAAACAGATATTAGGCTTTTGCAAAAAGTGAAGAAACCAATCTTGGAAAAGAAATGTGATGAATTTATAGGATCGGTCCGTACAGGTTTTGATTACGAGGCGATATGAAAATATGGGCTCATTCCCCAATAGCATTTACTACATAATCCTGACTAGTCTTAAGGTTACTGACGGCCGATCCACCGTTTTTAAAGATGTGAAATTAAGGAGCGAATGTGTATCGGGTAGGTTTTCCGACAGCACAAAATCAGAACACCAGAGTGTGATTAACTGAAGCAATAGTGAGATTGCCAAAGACAAGTATGCTTGAAAATTGTGTCAGATTTCTATATGTACATTGAATAACCCTCCGTTAACTTCCATGAAATAGTTATCGAAATTCCAGATTTGTATTATGTCTTTGTTATGATTTAGGAAGGTTCCACAGCTTTTTTAATTTAGAAAGTTTGAGCTGACTAACTCGTCTTTAATAAGAATACTGTGCAAAGTGGGATTGTGTGGATTACTGATGACAAAGTTCTAAGATCGGGGTTTAGTTTTCGAGAAAACTGTGTCGCTGGATGTTACTTCTATTTAATATGATCAAAAAATAATCAGTAAAGAAAAGAGACCAAGATTCACTGCTATATCAGAATTCATTAGACTAAATCCGCTGTACATAGACGGTCTTTAGGAGCAAATGTGCCACCAAATGATATACTGCTTGAGTTGCTGCAAGTAACTGTGGTTATCTTAATTTTACGTAGTCGGAATGTATACCAGTCAAACCTAATGACGTTCCACCAACTCTGATGCAGGTTGACCGATTAACTGTGATTATATTGTATTCTTTGTGGACTAGTTGAGTTCTTGGACTCTACTTATCACTCTCTGTCTACATGATGGAGACTTCGTGCTCATGACGACATCTGACTATTTAATGTAGATCTAGCTGATAACCAGTATCTCATTTTCTCTGTTGGAATACTCACCCTTGAGTATAAAAACCCCTATTCGCACACTTGTTTGGAGATAAAACATAGATACGAATCTTTCCTTGATTTGGATTTCCACTTAGTTGATGCATATTAAAATACTGAAATAATAGGTTTATGGCTTGATTTGGTTTTGTAAGCTGACTGATTTAATTCAGTAGGTCTCATTATTATTATGAAGCGATGGCTTCGTCGTCAGAGCGCTCGCACTTCAGTTCGGAGTCACAGGTTCGAGTCCCGCCCTACCTACTTTGGTTTGGGCAACCAAGCAGTGATGATACCTTTCACTTTTAGCATAGCTTATACCCAGGTACCTAATGCATGAGGTAATTAACTTCTTTTAGATAGCATGACCTCCCATATCACGTAGAGGTGAGGTGCTTATTTATTTAATTAGTGCTAAATCAATCTATCCTGATGTTCGAAACATTCGCCAGTGAACCAACCACATCAGAGAACAGCGAAAAACACTACGATATATGCGCAATCGTTAGGTATATGTATATTGACGCCTTTGTCATATTTGTAATATATCAATGATACAGACAGACTAATGTTTACTTTTCCGTTAAGTCACTAAACGTCCTCAGAAAGATTGGTCTACCTAAACCTTAATAAAAAAGTTTGACTAGGTTGAAGAAGCCTGTTAGACAATACCATCTCGTAAATACTATGTATTACCTTAAGTGTGTCATATATTCATCTGAGCCATAGTCAAGTAGAAAAGTTGGTTATCTACTTTAGGATTATCGAGAACATAAAGTTAGAAACAATACCTATGGAACCAGACTCAGAATTAAAAGGCGGTATTATACAATCTGAGGTAGGTTATGACAAAAGCAGTAAGAATTTAAAGGAAGTGAATTAATGAAATTAATTTACCAAGTTTAGAGATTTATTGCCGTTAATATGCGCTGCTTTCAATTTGTGTAAAATAATATCGTTCATATTTCCCAATCCTTTGACCGATAATGATAAAACATTTTGGCAGTCGAATATCGTGTTGGTTTAGCGTATGTGTAGCTCTTTAGCTTATAACCTTCAACTGGATGGAAGTACTTCCAGTATATCTAAATTCTTTACTGTTTTATGTTGATAGATTTTCCATGTCTTTATCAATGGAGGCACAAAGACGGAGTCACTACGAATGATGTAATATCAAGGATGCAATAGTATGATTATTATGCTGAGGTATACTTTGATGGCTTTTGTCGAATTTTTATATGTAAGTGGAATGCAGCGTCTACACTTCGCCTCAGCCCATAACGCGTTATCGTTTGAAGCAAAAGGTACCGGGTTTTAATCTAAGTGTGAACGTTAATACTCTGATCCAGGTCATCCATATGACTGGTCGCAAATTGAGAGTAACACGTGTCCTAGCTTCCACCATTAACCACAATCCAAATTCAATGTCTTTACTATTTATGAATTAATAATAAACATTTTTAATATTGTACGGATAAAAGTCTACATGTATTTAGCTGTTTTATTTAATTTTGTATCCTGAAAGCTAACAAAAATGTACTCAGACCACCACATGTCTTGAAACTAAAGTTCTAACAGCAAAATTCAAATCAATGGTGAAATTTATACTTCACTCACAGACTATTGACATAGTAAGCGGCACTACTAGTGCATTTGGTGGCACGAAAAGTAAAGGAGGCTAAGAGGAATGAAGCGGTTAGTCATTTATTTCACTTATTGAGAATAACTATGCGGAAAATACTATTCAAATCTTTCCAATAAAAATGTCTCTGAGTGTGGATCGCAATTCATCCTTATCTACTGGTCCACTGTATTAATTAACAAAACGTTATTATAAGAATTAACATATTACCTGAGTTATATTTTCAAAACGTTGCTATTAATTTTAAATGTTCTCTTGTTCAGTTGTAAATAGTTGAAAACTTAGTTATACATATTTAGTGTGTTTTGATTATAAACATCCATGCTGTTCAAATAATGAAGAATGCTGGCACATTTTAAGATTTATACTTCAATGTCTTTAAGAAGTATGCCAATACCTATGATATGTGCTTTGCACAATCCAAGTGCATAGTACTTTAACAAGATTGGCAAAACCCTGAACCTGCACTCACTCTGGGTAGTAAGCGGATAGAAGTAGTCGAGCAGTTCGTGTATCCGGTAGCTGCGTATATACTGGTGATGGTGTGAGTGATGAGATCAATTCACGTACAGTGAAAGCCAGAGCGAGTTATGCCAATCTAGACCATCTTTGACGCCTTCGTGATGTTAGTCTGGCTGTAAACAGTTGGAGCTACAAAGCGTCGGTGAGAGCAGTTCTGTCCTATATTTGTAAGACCTGACCCCTCCCTTCGTTGTCTCCGAAGGATTGCCAAAATCCAGTGGCAACACCATGTTGGTAATGCAGAGGTTCGGTGTCGTGTGTTTGAGTACAGAGACGATATTTCAATTAGTGTTGCCATCTTGAAACACCGACTTTGGTGGCTCGGGCACGTCTTACGAATGTCGATGCTGGGACTGGTTGAAAAAATGAAGAGGTGGTCAGTGTATGACATGGTGTTGTGGTATGAATTAATGCTGCATAGGACTGGCATCTGTCGGTCCCTCGTGATTGCCTGGTTGGGGTCTCATATATGATGTAACACAGTAGCTAGATGTTATAAGATGTGGACTAGAATAGAAGCCAGTGGCGATCCTTCTGTAACTTCCTTTTACTCTCTTTATAAAAGTGAACATAACTTCTTTGACTGAAATTATATTTTTTGGTTGCATTTCGCTTGGCCGAACTGCTTCTTCGCTTATTATTATTAAACTGTCACATACTAATTTCTTTTCGTTGTTGTTCTTTTTATTACACGTTCTTTACATTCTCTATCTCTTCACAACCTCATTTTCAGTGTGGGGTATATATATATATATATATATATGCATATGTATATATGGTGTCCCCTTATATCAATATTTATGTGTCTAAATATATAAGCAAATAAAGGTGTCTATTTAATTTTCGTTAGATCTTAATCCTATGGAAGCCAACTCTAACAAAATAGCAAATTACTTCATGCATGTAAACAAAAAAATATCTCATTTATGGACCATCCTTATATTTAAGAGGATTGCTTAGACAGTTATTACTACGAACTATCCAACAGAACGGTTTTTGCTACTAAGTATTCAGTATTTCGTCACATTAAGAATCTCGCAGACGGCTGAACAAATTGCTATTCGAATTAAAAAGCCAGAGCTTTGCATCCAAAAGAAATATGTTCAACCGCTCCTTTTACCCTGGCCAACTTCGGGGCCAACTAGTTAATGATTAATTTTATAATATGGTGACATAATTTGATTAATGTTCATTTTTATGTCCCAAACTTATTATTATTATCTTTACCACTATTATAATTATAATAATAATAATTATTATTATTACACTTGATAACCTTTTTGAGGAATTCATTCAGTATCCACTCCGATCTACTATATCAGACCTAATTGATATTATCTTATGTATTACGTAATTTCTGATTTTTGTCCCTTTGTTCTCCCTCTCTAACCCCATGTTGATCATATTTATTCTGATCATTAATCTCACAATTTCATTTCACTTATTAACCGATTCATGTTAACATTTTATAATAGTTAGCTCCAATATTAACAATTTGATTTTGTAAAACAATTCTTGATTCACATATTACAATTTTAAATGATATACCCTGCCTTAAATCTGGCCAATCTTATAGATTATTAATTTGGATTTTTAATTGTAGATTCTGATGAGAAATTATTGAAAAGAATATTCTTCGTTCACATAATCGTATTCAGTCAGTGTAAATATTTTGGTCCTACATGAGCCATTGTCTGGAAACCTAGGTCCAGTGCTTTATGCTGATTATCTTCACTCACCAGACATCAAAGATAGTTCACAGTAATATTGAGTCACTTCTATTATTAAACATAATGCAGACCAGTTGATAAAGTTTAATCAATTCTAAAGGTTTGACTAATATATCCGTTGCACGGAACAGATACTGCTTAATGTTTATATGAATGTCTAGATGCTTTAGATCAAGCCTTAAGCATATAAAGCTTAAAGTTGTTTATCCATTTTTTAGTCACATCTCAGCATGATAGAATTATTATCTAGAAATTGGAACTGCACAAAATTAGCAGCCTGCTTTTACTCTTAGATAATATTTTGTTTGCATAATTTCATAGGGTTGATGGAGGGACGTGCACCGACTCATTTACAATAGAAAATCATATAAATCTGACTTTTTAAATATATGAAGATGAGATCTTTCATAGATCTTTTTAAATCCTTAATACTCATGACATATACAAAAATTCCCATTATTAACTAAACTATTATTACTTCAGGAAATTTATTATTTTCCTAGTATAAATCATCGTATTCAAAATTCTATGATTATAATTTCAAAACTCAGTATACTTGGACTCCCGGTGATCAGTGAGGAGTTGACATGTTCATAGAGCTAAATAAGGAATTTTAGACTGGTGAATGTCAAAAGACGAAACAACTGATCAGACAGATAAACATGTTTTGGAGAAATCAAGCTAACATTTTTGCACAAAACTTTTTAACCAAGATGAGGCAAACGTAGGTT